AAGGAGTATCTCGTGGTTCACTCTGGCAAACGCCTTACTAAAGCCTATGTACATCACGTCAACATCCTTCCGTTCGCTGAGAGTTCGTATCCACTGGAGGTTTGAGTATATTAAGTTGGCGATGCAGGATCGCCTTTCGTAAAGCCGTGTTGCGCTGGAGTCAATACGTCCATCGATTCGAAGAACGACAGCAGACAGTTTTCCACAACCTTCTCGAGAACTCTGGAAAATATCGAAGTCAAACAGATCGGTCAATAGTTCTCTACTTTACTCGGGTCACCACCCTTGGGAAACGGTTTCACTATCGAGCATTTCCAGTCGTTGGGGACAAACCTTTCAGAGAGTGATTTATTGAATAGGTTTGTCACGGCTGGTGAGATGACATTCGATAGGGATATGAGTATTAGGGAATGAAGCCCGTCTGGTCCGGGGGCTTTGCACCCACTGAGGTTGACGAGTAGCTGATACACTTTGACTGCATTACATTGTAGGCTGTTGAGCAAGACTGGCGCAAGCTGTGCCGGCACTGGAACAGCCGCCAGCTTACTGGAAAATACAGTGAGGAAAAGCGTAGCCAAGGCGTCCGCGCGCTTCGCGCTTGTAATGAGCGTCTGTCCGTCCAAACTATCTAAGACCAGTAGGTCGCCTGCAGGTTTCAGTTGTTTCAAGTATGCAAATATTATTTTGGGTGCAGTTGTGGCCGAGGATGTTAGCTCCTCTTCGAACTACCGGCGTTTCATGATATTTGCGGCGCAACATAAGTCACGCTGCTTCTTGTACACCGTGTAATCTTCATCACAACCCGAGCTGATGTATCGATCCCAAAGCTTGCGAAAACATCGCGCTAACTGTCTATATTCCGTATCAAACCAATGCGGTTTGACAAGTTCGACTTCTGAATACTTCAGAAGAACGAACGGAGTACACAGCGAGTTAAACTTCTTCATCATTAATGACCAACAGGTCTCAAGCGGCGCATCTAATCAATCGAACTTGCGGCTTGGACGAGCCAGATGAAGTCCGTCTTTCAATAGTCGAATGTCGGCTGCCGTTGATTGGAGTACAGTAACGACAATTCTATACTTGCCACAATGGAACAGTAACCACTGTTCGCCAGAAATTCGAGGACTCAGATCCCCTTCAATTGCTGCTCGCAGCTTGTAAACATTAGGTCCAGACAAGATGCCGAGTGCGGAGTTACACGCGTCGGTCGGATGACATGTTGCGTTGCCCCGATTTCAATAGTCATTTTAGCGAGTTGTGCCTCAACGTCGCCATGAATGGAAAGAAGCCGAACGTCTGGCCAGAATATCAGGTAAATTTAGATCCCCCATCAGTAAGAAATGAGGGCGGCTCATGTGCTTCTCTATATATGTGGTAGCCAATCGTATTTCGAACATAGAACAGTCGGACTCATTTGCGCACTTCACTCATGGTGTCATTTGATTCTACGCTCTGATATGTGATATAGATTCAGTTTGCCGTAACGGTATGGTATAGGCTCAAAAGTCTGGCGTCATCCGTTCCCACGGCTGGTTGAATTGTACACTACGCGCTGAGTTCAACGCGCCTGCTTGTTTCATCGTACTACTCATTAGTAGTGCAACACAAATTAACCTAAGTTGACGTCGTCAAACGGACTGCCCACTAACGGCTGTTCACCGGAATGCAATTAATCAACGATGACTCAGCCTTAGAGCTGAGAACAAGGCCCACTCCAACTTGACCACTGAGTGCTGCATCAGCATCTCCGGATGCGTGCAAGGAATAGCGAGAGGACAAGCTGGGTGCAGTTAATTCAACTACCCATTAAGGTCTTTGATGCTAGTTTCGGACACAACGCAAGTCAATACCCAGTGTGTCCAAGTTGCGTAAGAGTGCAGCCTGTTGACCTAGTTGTTTTAGAGTGCGGGCGCTGAACGCCGCCAGGGATACGGGACAGTGTAGCCTTATAAGGGGCTGTTGTTGATAGGCGTCCAGTGGGTGTTGCGGAAGGGCGGCTGCAGATGGCTCGACTGTAGTGGCATTACGGTTGCTCTCAATTAAGCTGGGAATTATGGAAGAAAGGTTGGTAATGGGGGTTGGGATGGGAGTAAGAGAAACAGGCAGAAAAAGAAAGAAGGGAGGCGCCAGCGGTGGCATGTTTTCGCTTATCTACCCTGCTGTATGCATCACATAAGGTGACCCATGATGATCTGCGCGACGGCTGATACAGGATGTGGTTGAAGTTTGAGGAAACAATCATGATTGTACGTGGGCTGAGATACTGCCAAGGCGCTCAGACCTAGACGGGAGGACGATTAGGGTCTTCATCAAAAGCCATTGGCTCAAAAGCCTGTCCTCAAGGTAGCGGGCGGTGGCAATTATTAAATTTTAAAGAGATGGATGCCATGCTATTTCAAACCCCAACCTGGAGGAAAAGAAGACTCTGTTTGTCCGACCTCTAACCATTGACCAACCTGGTAGGAGTAGCTCTCAAAGAGGCCGGGAGCACCACTCAGTATAGCTTAAAGGGCCAGGGAGGTACGCAAACCGTCGCACAACGTTAAGGTCCAGTCTCGTAGCAACGGCCACACAGGTGCCGGACATTGGCAAAAGCACCCCGAGCTATCGCGATACGTTTCTTAAATTCTATGGGCGCTAATGTAGCTGCACAGATTCTTACATTTAGGGATGATTTCAAGCTGACCACTGCCAAGAGTCAGCGCAGGAGTGAGTCCCTGCAAATCTTAGAGAAGTGCTTTACATTTCGACGGTGAAAAGCATAGGCCGAAAGGACTGACAGCCAGCTAATTTATCCAGTACAGCTTGGCACGTTTGTGAGCTGTCACAGATGAGTGCAATGTCGTCGGCATATTTCAAGTCAAGAAGTCGGTTACCTGGGAGCAGCTCCACACCTCCGAAGTCGTGCCCGGCGAACGCCGTTTTCATGACTTCATCAATGGGGTAGTTAAAAAGAAAAGGTGACAGCGAGCAACCTTGTTTCACACCACTGGATATTGAAGAGCGGCGAAATTTTGCCGTAAACCCACACTCTGCACGAACTATGCGTGTACAGCGCTCTTATGACATGTACATATTCCTCGGGCACACCTTTCCGATCAACCGAATCAAAGGCCCCTTGATGTCAAGAAACGCGACTACGGTGGGCCGCCAATAAAAATGGCGGTGCTCCAACAAATGACGTAATGTGAAGAGGTAGTCAATGCAGCCTCGATTGCGGTGAAACCCAGCCTGCTCCTCGGGAATCTGGCTTTCACGGGTGCCAGTTAGTCTATGGAGGACGGCAGAAGCAAGTAACTAAGAGGCAATTGAGATCAGATTGATTTCTTCCATGACTGCCGCATTCCGAACGGGAGCCTCCCCTGAAAATTGGGACTATATAAGAGCGGTTGCATACTGTTGGAATAGTCACTTGCTCCCATAGACTCACTAATAAGTTAAATAAATCGTCCCAAAGAGCAGAGCCACCAAATTTGCAGATGACTGGATGAAGTCCATCTGCTCCAGCGTTTTTATTTAATTTTAATTGTCTGAGCTCACGTTTGGTTTCTGCGCGTGAGGGCGGATTTAGGGTGACAGCCCAAAGAGTCGGGCGATCATTGATAGATGAAGAAGCTGGCAACTCCGACTGATTGAACTGCTTCGCAAAGTATTTGGCCCAACGCTTCAAGCGCTTTGACAAGCTATGGATCGGCTGCCCTTTTTCGTCGCATATAGTTACGCTAACATTAGGTCTCATGCTGCAAGTTTCTCGAATCAGACGGAATAACTTCCGATGGGTTACGAAGGGCAGCGGCTGCCTCCATCTCCGACGCACGATAAGACCAGCAGGCTTCGCTATCTCTCTTCCGGCTAGCACGCAGTTTCGCCCTGAGATTTTTGCGCATTTCATTGTATTCGCTCCCAGCCGGAACACGTCGGTGAGCATCTGGAAGTTCCAGAGGCCGTGTAGAGACCCAATGCCCGGGTTGGTGATTTGATGCACAACATGAAAACATGGTATAGCAGGCACAGGTGTAGCAACCGCTTACCGTTATCATTACGAGAGCCTACGTGTTGGCCACCCAGAAGAGGCTCATCAGAGGACAATTCTCCAACCTGTGAGTTCAAATCATCAGTCAGCACCGTAATATCCCTGCTTTTCCATAACGGATGAGAGCGTTCAGTTGGTAAGAAAATGCATCTTTCACCGAGTCAGCGCCACAATTTGTGGACGCGGAGGTCGCAATGACAATCAAGCACCGTTTGTCCCCACGTGACGTTGAGGCCCTGACCGATACAGCTAATTTGACAGCGCACATCCGGCTGTTCATTGGGATTCAAACGATCATGGCAGATTCAGCCCGGGGGCTAAGAGCAATGCCCACACCGGTTCGACCAGCATTTGAAGGTGCGTCGTTTCTGAACAAGCGCAATGAGAAAATACCCCCAGTTTCGCACGTAGGGTATCGAATGGTAATTACAGAACTCGAATCTTGCAGGTGAGTTTTTGATAAGCAGCAGATATTGATTGATAGCGTCTCCAGTGTTCGGGCAAGTGTTGCCTGTTGGCCAATTTGCAACAAAACGCGCACATTGAGGCGTGCCAGTCTAAGCGAGAATCGAGGATTCCAAAGAGAAGCAAATGAACTTACGTTGTCCGTTTGGCTGGACCGAGGCGACGCCGTGCGATTGCGTTTGAGTCGAAACTAGAAGATAAACGATTACTGAACAAAGCTGGGGGAGGGCTAAGAATTGGGGTTTGAAAACAGGAAGGATAAGAGGGAAGTTGAAACGGGACGATAAGGATGAAAAAGCGCAAAAGCGCGTATAAGAAAACGGGAAGGCTTGAGACGAAAACTGTACTAATGGCTAGATACAATGGCGAGGATGTTGTGCTCCAGCGTTGGGCTCAAAAGAGCACACGCTGATGAGCAATAAGCGATTGTAAGCCGCGTCATCCATAACGCGAAGGTAACTTGCTGTCGAGAAGCGAACAAAGTTAGGGGAGAACTTACCTGTTTGAGCCAAGTGTTTACACAAGAAGTGTGGTAGATATGTTGACAGGGAAGTTGGGTGACGGTTTCCGATAATTTGTAGTCCTCAAAGCAAATGGAGCAGGTTTTGTGACTACTCAGAAGTTCTTCCGTTACTGTTGAGACTGGCAACCGCCCAATCGCGGCCTCAGATGCAGGAGGGGGACCAACGCGAAGTTGGTTAGCGAGAAAGGAGAGCACGTTGTCGAAAAGATCTGCATACAGGAGCAAAAAAGGAATGTGGACAGGAATCCGAGTACCATCACAGTAATCATAAAAAATACATCGAGCACTAGAAAGATAAAAGCAGGCATGAGTGGATAGCAAAGAAAAAGAAAGTCGTCAGCAGTACGCCGGCACACTGTACCGACGCTTCGGTGCCACGCGACCATTACCGGTCGCGCGTGGGCTGAGTATACCGGAGGGACGCCCGCCCCTACGCGGATTCGAACCAGTGAGCTAAGGGATTGCAAGCCAGGCGTGCAACGCTTTCGGACACTAGCCGGATAGCATATATTATAGCGGAAAAGGTGGGAATCAAAACGGCAATGCAAAGCGAAATAGGTGTATCAAATCTTGGGGAGTGTGTTAGCGTATGTTTATACGAGTGGGAAGGGGAAAAGCGTAGGAAGACAGACGTTGGGGGAAACAATGGGTTCAGATAGTGAACAGAGTCAGCGAAGACGGGTGAAAACTATCTGTAACCCACACAAAGCAAGTGCAAAATGAAAAAATGTGTCGGACAGTAGACCAATTACTGACGGTTGTCGGCAAGGACGGCTGGGCCAACCGCCAGGATGTAACCCGAAAAGATTAGAGGTATTGGACTTCAAACGTGGAAAAAATAGAGGTAAATCATCAACGGGGGATAAGGTGACGGTAACACAGTAGTTTAAAAAACCCGAAGCGCGCAAGTGCAATGAATACAGTCGGCAAGGGAATGATTGGTCGAACGACCGTAGGTGGTTGAAGTTGGACATACGAGTAAGTAGGGAGCACTGGGGTGTAACGCAAACTGGTGTAAATGAGTATGGCCTATGTGGCGTTTCCGCTAAAGATGGAGGGCGAAGCTCACAGTGACAAAACTAGTAGATTGTTAACGTCTTGGTTGCGTAGTACATCCGTCTCTGACACACACAGAAACACCTCCTGCGGCCACTGACCGAGGGTTACATATGTCCTGCTTGTACTACAAATATGGGTAGGAGACTGCGTAGGTGCGAACAATCTCGTAGTACCCTCAACCCGTAAGCAACTGCTCGCGGTCACGTGACAGTGAACCGTCGGTGCAAGGTGTCCGCGTATCGCTGATTCCATACCGCAACGCAGCGTCGCACACCGTGATTTTTCACTGACCAGTCTATTACCAACTCGGCAGGCTGCCGAAGATTCGGAAAGCCAAACTACGCTTTCAAACAAGAGCATTAACGTATTTGTTGGCTAGATAATTAAAAGTGAAGTACAGCTCAATGTGTAAGAAAAGAAATATGACATCGATCGCATCACGCGCAGCAGGAACACAGGTGAGAAAACAGTAACAGCAACAGTATCATGATAAAGTCCGTAAGGACTCTTCACTATCAACCATTTACATCTTAATCATGCAAATCGGAAAAATCACCTGTCTGTTACAAATACGAAGATTCTCAAATGCTAAAGACTGTTAACCAGTGGCGTAGCAATTACTTTTGCCGCCTGGAGCGGACGTCGCCCCACCTAGCAGTTGTAAATTCGTAAACCCTCGTAACTGCAAACAGCTCTTAAGTAGTTCGTTTCATATAACAACGATCCATGATCTGAGTTTAGGTTGCTGCCGTAAATAAAGGCATTTGTATGGTTAGAATTTAGATACACTCTTCGTGCATTACAGAAGGTAAGATTATTGCTAAAAATATCAAAATTGAGTCCATTGGCAAGTACCCTCTATTTGGAGAGAGATGCCAATCCGTGAGCATTATCCGGTTTATTGATAGTTGATGGTAGTTCGTTATAAACCTGCCTTTTGAGAAGGATCTCTCACAGCTGTCAGTGCTACTGTTTCGGATAAGATAGATGCGCAGCAGATTCCCCAAGTTGATATTTGCGTATGAAGTTCAAAAGTTCCAAAAATTTTGTTGCTTTATGAAGCTTCACAACATATCGTAATCTCGTATCAGCAAGGAATTCCTATGTACTATATCTCCCTCACCTTCGCTAAGCGGACAACCATTGTTGTCAACAAGCTGATTTGACGGTAAGAAAAGCAATTTGTTTTCAAGGTCATGAATCTGTGACATATCTCATCAGGCAAACTGTCTATGACAGACAGTATTTTCCCTTTTAACTAAGCATCAAATGCCATAGATATATCAAACAATTCGTCACCGTCTATCCGTTTCCTTTTGCGGATGCGACGCTTAGTGCTTATCCTCAACTCAGTGTGGTGTTTTTGGATTCATCCAATGCAATGTTCACCAATCCTTCTCCATTTTGAAGGCAAACTGTTAATATTGTAAGCTGGACAAAATTTTGCTACAGATCCAGCCCTTTTGTTTAAACATTTATGATTTCTATGAGAGTAGATCTCTAAAGGCTCAGAAACAAAATAAACGGAGATGCAAACAACGATATGAGAATTAAAGATGCATCTGATCTTGTGGTTGCATTTTCCACTTATTCTGCGAAGTGTTTCAGAGAATTAACGGGTTCCGAGTATTTTTTCATCACACATTTACAACGCCGACTGGACTACTCCATCCAGATTTTACATCCACTTGATACTTAGACCGCTGACTTGAATCAAGACATTTCAACAATACCTAGACGAAAAAAGAATGAGAATAACCGGTCCATCGTACAGAAAATGTAACAGAATGAGCCGTCGCAGAAGCTTGATGTACACAAACCACCTTCGGGGAATGCTTTGTGTGTGGCATAAATGTAGTTTTGGGTTTATATCGCAGATGTGCCTCTACACACCCGATAGGTAGCCCGCCATAACTGCAGCATTGGTAAATGCCTGGCCACGGCATTCACCAATATGAGTTCTATCCTTCTCCAGTTCTCTCAAAACCAGACAAGAAATTTCTTCTGCTTTTATCCTATTGGTCTCAATGAAGCTGAGAAACGACTCATCTACCGTCATTACATCTTCACTCATCTGATTTATGTGAGATACATCGGGAGTGCTATTAAAAATTAAGCAAACAGTTTATTGCCTTGATCTACGGGTCCTTTTTCACCTGCTTTATCAAAATGCTAAGTAATTCATTTTGGATGCGTGGCGACAGAAGTTTTGATTTTCCTTCACAGCTGAACTGTCACCAAAGGTTCATGAAGAACATGTTCATAGTTGGCCAACAAATGTACAACTAATGAAAACTTCCCTTTTTTCCTGCCGTTCTTCGTCATCCTGGATGAGACTCGGAGACAATGCAGTGTCCAGTTTTGCTTGACGGGAAACCTGAGGATATCAAGTATTCTAGTTAAAATTTTATGCCGCTTTATTTCAACATGTGTTGACTCCATTCTATTCAATACATTAGCTAAGCAGATTGCTAGCTCCTAGCGATTGAACAAGCGATTTACTGGATTGGTATTCGCATGCTTTTGGGTTCAGTTTCCACAAATTTCTGACTCTCTCGTCAGTCGAAAAACAAGAACCTCCGGTTAAAAACATCCTGCAGCCGAAACCAAACAAAGCCTCTTTGGTAGGAGAATACACCATCCATGTTCATAATCTTTGCTCACCGTTTCGTAAATTCCGAAAAAACCAGTGTTGTTAGCTTTTTAGCTTCAGCTTTTGTATTCGTTCCAGGAAGAACCACTGAATGAATATATGATTGATGTGCTGTATGACAAGGATAGTGAGAATTTCGTGGCCAAACTAAACAGGCCAGAGAGAGACATCCATAAAGTAGATTGATGTGCGTGTTATCGTGCCGCATTCATGCTGTGGACATTGCTTTCTGTTGTCCGGATACCAAGGTTTGCAGTAGCAATTTCATCTTCAATCTCAATATGATTGTCCCCCTCTATTTGTACCAATTCAGTCATGGGAGATGTCCTGATGAATTTACAATTGGTATTGAACAATGATTTGTATTAAAAAGGTCGCCCCCTGTCCAATGCGATCCGGAGCGGACCGCCCCCGCCCTCCTAAGCTACGTCGTGGAACTTAACTCATTAGCACACATTTTGTGTCAAAACCGAGTCCCGCTGCCTTACTCAAACTAAAAACCTAGCAGTGTGTTCTACCATGTATATGAGGCTGCATTCCGGAGACATGGTTATAAGAATGTACCTTGATCGGCCTCTTCAAATGTTTACTGCCCATGACGTGCGCATAGCAGTGTCCAGAGCCTAAAACAACCGTCGTTTACTTGAAGAGTGCTCGCTTCAACTTAACTCTCGTCTCAATAACCGGTAACAACATCAGTACACCGGTAATTTGCAAAGGCGTACAATCAAAGGTCCTATATAGATAACCGAAGCATACATATAGAATCAAAATGCAAACAACAGCTTAGCAGCACACAGTCACAAATGGCGTATCGATAAAAGGAATCCGCTCATGATCGCTGTAAAATCGCGCTCCAATTGCACACTGATACATCTGGCATGACTAAGTCGTTGGGCTATCATCATCGCTAGTACATCAGCCATTTGAACTGACGCTTCGTCACCATACAACCACGGTGACCTACGGAAAAAATAATAACATGGAGAGAAGGGGGACCTAGCGTAAAACTTCAATGCTCTCAGCAAACATTCAGGGTCAAGCCGCCTACAACTTGTCAACGTAGCGCCACAAACCACAGGCCATCGTGGAAAGATAAGGTGGCACCGGAGAGCCAGCTTCTTTGCGATTTTCACTGTCCCGCCTAATAGCCAGCTACTAACACTTGGAGAACTCAGTGCCAAAGGTAGTCCGGATAGGAGACGACAGCATACGTGCCACTGGTGTTCATTGTGAGCCATGTCCTGTAACGCAACAAACCAAGCACAAGGCAGGCCGCATGAACACTAGCGTGGAAAGCGAGATGGACCAAGGACACTCAGTTTTATAGCCAGTTACTTCATTTCCTGATGCCAAGTTAACTTTTGTCTACATGGAACCTTGTGCCACCCTACATCTGGTAAACAAGGCTCTCCCCAGTAAGGGGTGACCGGGCATAAGTACCACGGTCCCAGCCGACTCAACTTATTCAGCGCCATCTGTCTTTCTAAGGAACCA